GTGTCTGTAGACTAGACTTCAGTCATTTTCGTCTAATATAGCATCTAATATATTTCAGTTGAGACTGTATTATGCATCGACTGCACAAAATTGAGAAATGCATAATTCACATTGCGAGTTCCATTGTGCTTTGAAGTTGATATGGATCATCCATAGATTGGAATGTCTTTCGATCGGCGCCTTTCTCCTTGTTGCGCTACTGTGATCTCGGATGCACGTGCCGCATATGCCTGAAGAGAACGTCCTTACGACTGGTCTTGTATCCGCAGAGATTGCAGAAAATCATGGGTGGTGTGCCACATACAGTGCTCAGGTGACGCTGAAGGCTCGCCTTCCACGCATAGCCCTTTCCACACTTCGGACATGTAAAGGTGGGTTTGCCTACGTATTCCCCGAGATCCTCGGATTGCTGCGCGGCCGGATCGAATCCTACAAATTAGACGCAAGAATATTAGAATGGTCAAAAGCTACTTTCGAGAGAGAAAAATTTTTATGTTCTCCGATAAAAGTTGGCGAAACGCACGGGGAACACAGAGAGATACAATGACGATATCACGAACACATAAACGCCACATTTAACTCGTTGCGTTACGAAATATCTGAAATAAGAAATAAAATTTGTATTTTACAAAATTTGTCAAAATTGATTTAAATTCGAGGAAAATTCTTAGAAAATGGAAATTGGAAGTATGAATATTAATACAATTTATTGATGAATAGTATCAGAAAAGATAATTGAGATTAATCATGAAAATTTCTTGTTAGAAAATGCATATCAATTTATTGCATCAATACAACTATATCTGATTTCATCACATATTGTAAACATCTGTTAGAAAGGAAATTTTAATTTATAAATCTCGAAAAGAAAAGAAAGTAATTCATGTATATATAGATGTAGAGGTAAATCAGTATAGCACCAATGTTTTTGCACAAATATATCGCAGGACGCGTGTAAAAATAGAGTGATATAAAATACATATAAAATTTTAGAAAATGTTACATAAACAATAATTACTTGGACGAAATATCGCGTATAATTATTGTTATAATTGCAAGAAAATCTATATTCAAATCACATAATTTACAAAAAATATTGATATTTAATACTATTTTTATAAATCACAACCATATTAATATAATTTTATTATTCAAAATAAGCCACAAAATTATGATTATAGAATATACATATAAAATATATAATATATATTCTCTTGCATTATAAAATAACAACTCTCATATATTTTATTATCCATAACACAATAATTCAATGTAATATATAACTTGAATTTAATAAATCAACATAATTGCTGCATTTATTAACATTTAGTTAATAACTCAATAACAAACGAATTAAATGAACGTTTTTTACAAAAACATTATTTCTCGAAAAAGTAGTGCAAACTTATGCGAAGTCTTGTATCCCCCCCACCATCGATCATATAATCTCTCCACAGTTTAATAAAAAAAATTCTTACTATACAGATCAAAATTCGCTTTGCTTTTTTAGAAGACCAGGATCGCAAAATATTCAAACGTTTTACATAATCTTTCGATAAGGTGGCACTTTCACGAAAGTTCATTTACGATTTTATCGTAATCGAAAATGTATTCTTACACGCTGTACCATTTTTTCATCTTATTATTGATAATCAAAATTGAGATTTTAATGCGTCTGCTCGATCGACGCAAGGCCGACATGCTCGCGAACAATGTGATACTTCAATAAGGTAGGAATCCTGGCTCTATGGGAGCAGTACGGGCGATATTAGAGTGCGCCAATCACTGTACCGTTTCATGCACTTGAGGCACCGCAGCTCATCCTTACACTGTCTCCAAATGTCACGCGGCAATCCGTCGCAGAAGAATCGCCGCTTAGCTGAAACATGATCAGAATCTTACGTAAGCATAATAATTAATAATAAACGTTCATGGAACAAAGAGAATAAGATTGAATTATAATCGTGCTGCTTCTGCTGTATCATCGATTAAACTTGATAGTCCTCCCAAATCATGAACATCGACTCATTATCTCATTCATTCACACCTCATCTATTCACACCAAGAAAATTCTTCGACTGACTAAACACAGTAAAAAGAAAAATGTCAAATATTGCATAGAACTTTAAAGATTAAAAAAAAAATGAGTAGGAAAGAGACATCGATTTGGAAAAGCTAATTCAATCTTAGGATTCTCAAAATTGTCAACGCTTCTCTCTATTCAATTTTGCCTTCGATGCGTTCCGTATCTTAAAACGCGACATGAAACATCCTGTATATAACAGACAACAACGGCATGTCGCTTGATCGGCATAATTTTCAAATTTAAAAAGAAAGAATAGGAACTTGGAGAGAGATGTGTCACCTTTTTCAACACTTTGAGAGATGTACTCACAGCATTCAAGAAATTACACAAACGAACGGATTCCCTCTCTGCGCATTGTCTGACGAATTTGAGATGCATCTGAAGAAGTTATGCTCTGAAGAACGTGAGTAGGTCGAAGATATTTCCCTGAAGAGTGTAGCTCGTGGAACATCGTATTGCAATTATGTCCAATCGCAATTGCGAGCCAGAAACATAATAAAACAACAGGGCATGTGTAAATCGTAATATGTTTTTATTATGCATAAGTAATATTTTACAGAACAACAAAATTTTGTTATAAATTGTACTTCCTTTGTATCGCACAATGTATATATGATCGTATCTATATAATATATATATATATATATATATATATATCTATTGTTATAACGAATCGATCAATGCAAACAAACGTTCCGCAAATTCAGATTCATATACAGACGCGACGATTGTCTTATGAATGTTTTTTCTGTATTTCCCTCTTCTATCTTTTTTTTTCTTCTATTTCTATCTATCTAAACACGACGCGTCAATTAGAATAAAATTTCCTTAAATTTTATTTTATTTAAAAAAAAATTAAAATACAATTTTTAATAATAATCTTCACAGCCGAAATTCACAAATATGATCAATAATTCCTTATTCGTCATAGATGTACAAAAATTAAATTTAATAGTCTAATAAGATAAACATGCGTTTACCTATTTTCGCAATTTTACTAGACAATTATACACCGCTCGAAATCCCTTAACGAATTTGATTGGAATCGTAACGCTCGTATGTCACTGAAATACTTTTTTAAGTGCACCATTGTGTATTATCTTAGCCTAAATCCTTTCCGTTGTAGTATAATAAGTAATGAGGAAAAACTGTCCCGAACAATTAATACGGTGTTAAAGTACCAAGATACTCGAGTTAGAGACGAGAAAAGAACTGTACAGCCTACTTTCACGCAAAACCTGTAATAGCAGCATGTATGACGAGAAAGTTACTAATCGTCATTATGGACCGAGATTCGTATTTCGCACTTCAAAGTTATTCAAAGCGTATTCCGTGTCAAACGTATAACAGGGAAAGCGGACAAAACGTAATGTCAAATATCTACGCTACAGACAGACACTGACAAACACGTGATTCTCGCTCTAATAACACTCTGAAAAATCAGTAATAAAGCATACTTGTGCACTGTGCTGCAATATATTATCGATGTGCACATCACAAACACTATAAGACACTTTTCAAGAGATGGGCACGTAAAATTTCTAAATACTACGACACTATCTCTTTTTTTTTTCTAGCGTGTCGCTAATTTCTTCTTTCTTTACCAGCTCTTTTCAGAGTATCATTACAACGCTCAAAGATGGTCGTGAACAGTTTTAGATATTACCTTACATAAACATAATGAACATAACGTGATGACTTGCAACTTAATGTGATCGAATCCAAGAGTTCAGATTTTTATAATTCAATAGCGCATCAAGAAACTTTATACACAATCACGCGACAAAAAATAATACAATGCACTACTTATATGCATTTTTTTAGACTCCAATAGTGCTATTATTTTCATCCAAACTAAATTTGTGTTAATTGTTTAAATGATAATTGTTTAAACAAATTGTATGTGATAATTTCAATTTCAGATTGATAATGAGAGAGAGAGAGAGAGAGATCTCATAAACCATTACATATAGATGATTATTCAAATTGCAAGGGTCCTTAAAGGGTTATATTTATCTACAGATTTAAGTACCCCTATTTTCAATATAATTGTTATTTCTTACATAAAGCCGCCAACAAAGCAGATGACTTTTATAGATTTTTATCGCTGAAATCAAATTCCAAAATGAAATCGTTCTATCACATCACGTTTTTTAGATATTTCAGCTCAAAGAATCAAAAAATGCTATTTTTAGCACTTTTAATATGAATTTGCTCAAAATGACGTAATAGAACAATTTTATTTGCAGATTTGTTTCCAGCGATTAAAAATCTGTAAAAAATCATTTGATCTCGTTCGTGATCTAGAAAAAAAATTTAAGTTTGTCGGAGTGTAATGCTATTCATATGCTATTCATTTTGATGCTAATTATAAATTTATAACATCAAAAATATAATAAACAACAATTGTAACATTCATGTGAAAATTTGAATTTTTGAGATACATAGATGACTTCCTTAACATTCCAGCTCGGAAAATAAATATTAATTGTTAAACATAAATAAAATTTCTTAATTTCTTAAATCATTATAATTATTAAATAAAACTGTGCAATGTCAAACAATATTAGATTTAAGAAACAAAATTACATAAAATTTAAAAGAAGAAAAATTAAAAGAAGTTAATCAATAAAAATATTTTTTACTATCGGTTGTTGGTTATATAGTAATACTTGATATAAAAATAATTTTAATATATATAAGAATTTTGTGGAATATATTATTAATAACATATTTGGTTTATCTCATCGTACTACTTTTAAAGTAATTTTCCTTTGTCCGAAGAAATTCGTATCTGTAAAAGTAATATGTATAAATGTATACAGAGTAAAATTAAAAAGAAACCGGTAAAAGATGCATGATTTTATATAACCCATACTATTGAGCTATTTGATACAACAGAATAGTGTTTTTGATATAAGAAGATAACACGTGCATTTTGTATTAAAAATTGAGCAGCAATGCATATGTATTCTTCATATAGGAGATACAAAAAAATTTTTTACTTAAAGGAAAAATTTTTAAATAATTCGCACTCTCCCTTATGAAATTAAGTCTGAACTCTTGTTCCAAAAAGATATTCTTAAAAGTTTAAAAGCGAAGAAGAATCTTATAAGAATCTTATAGACTTCTTAAAAACTAACACGCTCGAAATTATCCGAACGCAATAATTTGAAAAGAAAACTTTCTGATTAGTAACGACATGAAACGCTTAATATAATAAACCTTTCTTCATGAGGTTTCCTTTTCGTATTCCAAAACTGTCTGGAGAAATCACTTTCTTCCCAAACAATGAAAAAATTTAATTCCTAATCAATTTTAAAGCTTATTTTATTCTTTTTTTCTCAAGGAACTTTTGCTTATTTTAAAGTAACACCTTTTTTATTCAGCCTCGTTTACCCAATATATTTTTTAAACGATGATTGATCACTTTCATTTCTCTTGAGATTTATTCTTCATAATAAAAAACCACAGCAACTACTGATTATCATTTTGTCTCTGACTAATACTCTGACTGTCTCTGACTCTGATTATATAACACAATCGATCGTCTCATGTTCTTCTTCTACTTAATTTGTGGATTTTTTGGCAAGAATAAATGCAGGAGCATTATTTCGGATGCTCGGGATACACTGCCTTTTTCGATCACGCTTATGCAGATTGTTGCTTTTAATATAGCTTAGTTGTGGAACTACTTTGACGAATTTATTAACGGTATCGTTGGCAATTTTTTCGGAGTGTATGTTCTTCAGATGTCTACTCAAGCTGGATTTTTGGGTGAATTTTTTGTAACAGAAGATGCAGAAAAACTTGCGGGGCACGTGACATTCGTATTTGCGATGACGAGACAGGCTCCCCAAGGATTCGTACCTTTTTTTGCAATCATTACACTTATATTTGCCGGTGATGTTGCGGGGTTTAAGGCAAACAAGAGTGCGATGGCGATTCAGGGAGTATTGAGAGGCCAGGCGCTTGCCGCAATCGGGGCACTTGTATGGTTTGCAGGTTTGTGACTCCTCATTGCAGTTCTGCGTTTCAGGCACAAAAGATGTCCGATATCCTGTCTGATCGATCGAAGGATCGACAGACACAGACGCGGATGACATCGACAGATGCAATGGAAAGAGACCAGTGTTGAAATGAACTGAATTGTTAGTGGTGAGATCAACTGCGGCTGCCATAGGTGACGTCGGCGGCTTCAGAAATTTAGACCTCATTTCTGAAAATCAAAATGGCGATGTTAAGGAAGATCGTGGTAGAATCGGGATTAAAAGGAAAAAATAAATAAATAAATAAAAACTTATAATATGCTTTAAAAGGAAATGTTTGAAGACGGACAGTGGGATAAATACGGAAGATGTGAAAGATTCAGAAAATCGCGAATTTTGATGAAAGATTAATATTGACGGTGATTAAACAAGCAGCTGTTAGTGATTTGTTGCGACAAATAAATTTGAGTATATTGAGTCCCGAATGATGAAAAATTTATCAAATCGATAAAAAAGAGATAAAAAATTAAAAAGACTGACAAAAGGGAAATACATATATTAGAACACGTGTAAACGGTTTTCAAAAAAAGGATGATCGGGTTATCTAACAACTTGTTGCTTGAAAGAAATTAAATAATAAAGATTAACGACTAAAAGAACGCACGACTTCGCAATTTCATTCATGGATAATTGCGAATATCATGAAGGACAGTGGAGGAGAACAGAAGGAATGATATGTATATATTCCAGTAATAATTATTGAATACATACGTACATGTAGTAGCGATACGAAGTTCCCGGCATAGGACAGCGCCGAGAAGAAAATTAAGAATAGCGTGTGCGCCGTGATAGTAATAAAGATTTTAATAAATGCGCAACTTTCAATAAATTATTTACAGATTACAAAAATTATGTATAATAAACTTTATAAAAAATCAATAAAAAATATTCGTTTAAAATATAAAATATAATCAATAGAAAGTTTCATTAAAAAAATTAATCTTCTGGAAGACGACATCCGCATCGAGCGAAGATTGTAGAAAAACGTGGAGGCAATAAACGATTATGGCGTCTCATTGAGACTGATTTATTGTTACGTTTGCTACTATAGATAATGTATATCTTATGAATCTAGGCACAAAGTGTTATCCGCGTCTAAAATTTTATTAACGTTTTAGAATCCAATTTGTAAGAATGGGATTATATCGATAAGGTATGCTATTGTAATAATGTTCTTCATGCGATGATCTTCGGGTTTATGTAGGATCGTTGTGTTCGAGGTGTGACACGTGTTACAAATTTTATCTTCTAAAGGGCGCTAGAATCTTCGACGATAGGCTATAAATAATTTTCGCGGGAAGACACAGGAAGTGGTACAGTCATTAAACAAGTGTCTACTTGAGTCATTCTTCACAGAGATGTCGTAGTAAAACTTTCTCTTCCGAGATGATGAATTCTACCCAAAATAGCACGTTCTACGAATGGATCTTCAATAACGGATTCTTCAATGACGGCAAACTCTTCACTTGATGATGATCTTCCGGACGCACTGCTTCCTTGGCGGTTGATAAAAGTTGTGGTTCTGCATCAGATGACGGCGCAAACTGACGTTTTGCGTAAAACTGCGTCCGCATAGGTCACAGGAAAAGTTCCTGCGACCGCCGCACTCGTACTTCAAATGCTTCGATAGACTGGGTTTGACCTTGTAACCCCGGCCACACTGGGGACACTTGAGGGTGAGATCCTCATCCTTCAGGTAATTCGCGTGTCGCGACTTCCGGGGCGGTCCCGGCTCAATGGTCGTCCAGACTATACCTGGAAGAAGACGAAGATGACAGTCGTGTTAGTCGTGAGTTCACTTTGCTGACTGAGATCGTTAGACGCGAGTCTTAACGATCGAGACCTGATCCGCGCTAACCCGCTAGATCACGTTTCGACTTCTCGAGAAGAGACACGAAAAGGAGTTCGGCGTAGTCGTCGAAACGACTCATAAAACCATTTGATCGATCAGCAATCGGAACAACCCGATTGCATATTTAAAGCGACGACTAGCCGCTTAGTCTACCATCAACTATTGACATCCATTAGGGAAGGGAAAGGAGGAAACTATTTCAAACTGATATGAGATCGCTCACGTATCTCTCTTTCTTAGGAATTTCTTAGGAGCCATGATCCAGGATGGATTACAATCGTAAATAATCTACATAAGATTAGATGCTATCCCGTAATCGACGAAGTCAATTTTATGGACTCCCTTCATGTGCCGTTCAAGGCTCGTTTTTTGGGTGAAACTTTTGCTGCAGTAGACGCACGGGAAATAACGTGTCCCGCCGCACTCCCATTTCGTATGTCTGCGCAGATTGCAGAGCATCGTGTAGCCGCGTCCACATTTTCGACAGGCGAAGCGGCTCAAGCGGGACCTCGAGAAACCTGCTAAATGAAAGAAAATATTACTCTGAGAATGCATCTGTGTGCGTGTGATACATCGACGATCAAATTTTTGTCAAAATGAAAGATTGAAATTCTAGATCGAAATTCTAGACGCGAATGCAGGAGATCAATGACGACATTGTTTCTGACAAAAACATTTTAAGACATCGACAACGATAAAACTCAAACACGATATCAATTAATTCATCATCGTAGCGTTTTTTGCGCCGTCTGATAACATCAGCATGCAAAAACTTACAGCGAGAATATTTTATCAATGGCAAATTGCTTGAAATCATTTTATATATTTTCATTCTTACTACGTGAACAAACTTCGAGATATCGATTCGTTCATCGTAGAAACAATATCGAAAACATTAATTTGTTCTTCGTACAAGCATTTGTCATAGATAAAACTCTTCTGAAAAGTTCCTACTCTATACGTATAAATAACGAAATAAAAAGTAATCTAAAAAAGTAATGTAATGTATCAGAAAAAACATACTAATATATTGTTATAAATCTGCTCTTGTCAAGTTGAAACATGACAACATATATTTTTAACATAATTTATTATGTGCAACTTATAAAGATTAAGATTTTATTAACTTTGGTAACTATGCAAAACTAGAGGCTAGTAATGCCCGAAAGGCTTATACAAAATTCTTCTTAAACATTCTTCACGTTGTTTTTCACGCGTAAGTTTCACGGAGTTTAAAGTCTAATCTATCTTCATTCGACGATTCTCGAATCTTTGGCACAAGTTCTCCCAAGTCTCGATTTGCAGTTTTCAACGTCATCTTCCAACGAAATTATCTTGCTCGTCGTTCTTATTGATAGATGAGTTGATCGTACATCTTCCTCGGGTTATTGTATCTCTTCTTTACGGGCATCACTACGTTGTGATGATGCGTCAGATGCCTACGCAGACTGACGTTTTGCGTGTACTTGTTCGGACACAGGTGGCAGGAGAATCTTCGTTGACCGCCGCATTCAAAGCGTACGTGTCTTGCCAAGTTGTGCTTTAGCGAGTACCTCTTCCCACAAGCGGAACACTGGAGAACCTGATCTTCATCGTTGCTAGAATTCCTCGCATTCGTTCTAACTCTGGCAATCTTCGTCGGGGTAACATGAGCTTTTCGCTCGTAGACCGCGGGATTGTCTGGAGGACGGAAGCTCTCGTAAAAACCTGAAAAAATAACGTTCATGCGCTGATTAGTATTAGATCTGTATCTCGCGTTCGCGAGATACAGATTACTAAAGCCATCTATTGGAAAAAATAATGGATTTCTTTTTACTACACATAATATATAGAATCGTAAAACGAAACTCGTACACACTGATCTTCTCCTTGTTTTATGTGACTTATGGAGCCCAGTGGATGACCATGGAACAATCTGGTACATTGTATTATTCTCAAATACAGATACTTTGCCTTGAAGAAATATATCTCGCGCTATTTATCGTTAACAAGATATACTTACATAATTGCTACGTTTTATTCTAAGGATGTGGGCTATAATTTCTAACTTCGTATAATTATCCTTTGGTAAAACATATATAAATAGCAAAATAAAATTCTTGAAATAATTCAATTTAATTTTTCCATAAAAGAAGTAATAATTTATGTACAATGCAAGACAAATGCATGTTTTTAAATTATACTTCTGTTTTGGAAAAATTAATCATAAATTCTGTCAGGAAGATAATCGTATCACTTTTAACATATACATATATCTTCTTAGAATGTTCGGTATAATTTAAAAATAAAATGAGAGATTAAGAAAAAAATTGTGCGCAAGAAGAAATTTGAGATCCCATACTTAAGTTGAAATACGCAGAATACTTTTAAATTTTCGCAAAACAACTAATAAATTTTTCACATGTTACGTGTAATTCTTCAAACTATATATTCAAACAATTTTTATTTGTCAAAATTCATTAGGGTTCTGTATTCTGAAAAAAATAAAACCAATATAATACCTAGAAAATGCAAATCAAGGGATTATTAAAAAAAAATCATGCTGCATCACCTGTTACAAAAATAAAGTTTGCTAATATAGCGCCGTTAATCGACTACCTCAATGATATTAATAATTTTCTACAACTATTATGTTTCTGTTTCACACCATGCGTCGAGCTTCACAAAAAATTCAGTTCGTCGCATTTTGTTAACTTCTAATCATCGTAACTGCGATAACGTTTTTCTATTCGAGGATCAAGGAAATTAAGGGTTAGCAAATTATTTGTATTGCAACGTGCCCGTTTATTATTAAATCAAGACAGCTAATTGTTTGCCGATATAGATCCGAACATAATTTCCGAAAGTAGATTTTTCTTTCGAAAATGTAGTGGGGGCACAAAAATATTGTGGGCATTCAGCATATGTTGTCGCAATTTGCCGTTTTGGGTATATCTAGAGGGACAAAGGGAACATCCGAAGTGTTTCTGCCCGCCACATTCGAATCTCAGGTGTTTCACTAGATTGTGTCTTGATTGATACGTTCTGCCGCACTGATGACAATTGAAGACTACATTCCTGAAGGTTTCATCTACGAGGCTTCGTGTGGCAATTGACGGCAACTCTGTAAAAGAGGAATAATCGATTAGTATATCAAGCGCGATAGGTACAAGTTTCTCGAATTAACACCAATAACACGTATTTTCCGACTGCAAACCTGATGCCAATTTTCTTTCCTTCAAACTGGGGAGAGAATAAGGGATAAATCGTATACGATCGTCTATTAAAAATTTATTTATAAATGAGATATATATATATATATATATTGCGTTTCTTGAAACAAATTTTTCCAACAACTCAATTAATCAAGATATTATTATACATTTCATCTTAGTTTTCAAGAATAAATTATTTATTTAATTTCGGCGATTCATGTATTGTTAAACTGGAATATATTACATATTACAAATTCAATATTTTGTAATACGTGAATGCTCTACTGATGGGGCATTTATTATTCTTTGGTCTTAAAAATTTGCATCCTTACACATACAAATTATAAATTATGATAATAAATATGTACATATAAATTCAAGCAGTAAGGTAATTAAGATAACATAAGATAAAAAAGATAAGATAAGATTGATTATAAGAATAATTTAGATAACAAATTTATACGAAAAGAATCATTTCCAGAAATATTCCTCAATTCGAACTATTATACAGGGATGGTAACGTTACTTGCAACACTATTACCATTACTTTTTTATAATAAATAAAATACGATTCAGTAATAATGTTTATTTAATAATTTTTCATGATGGTAACGCTAGAACAATGATGTCAGAATTGAGAAAATCACTTTGAAAATTCCTTATTCATTGAAAAAAATAACTCATTACATCACACTTTAGTCATATGTAACGAGCATCGAATAAAATAACGAGTTACCTTTTTTAATGAGTAACGATAACGTTACTTTTTAA